ACGTCCACTTGCTTTTATGGTGCTATCAACCACATAGTCTGTATCAGTTAGTGGAGCTGGTCCAGGTGTCACTGTAGGACCTAAGTGTGAATCCTGAGCCTCATGCAGCAGTTGAAGCTTATTCCCCTCAACTTGTTGAATAAAATATTGAATAATGACAACTAATACTACAGTATGCCATTTATATGCATGTTGCAAGTTTTTGGGCCACAGTGCAGTTCTATGGTACAGAGGCAGAAGTTATATGAGACTGTGGCTACAGAAACAATACTTATTATACTATTCAATACTTAACGTAAAACTTCTAATAAAAGCAGAGTTAGTTGTCAAATTTGCTGAAGAAAACTGAGGAGAAACAGCACAGTCTGAAAGTATTTTCTATCTTTGCTAGGCAAGAGTTTTGTGCAAAAGGAATTAAAGGCCAGTCCCCAATGAAGACAGGATGAGTGCCATGATTTAAGCAAATAAACACATCCTCCTTAAGTTTTACTTAATACTAGCAGGACAAATTCATTTTTTATACTAAATAAACAGTTAAAGACCAGTGTTATCCTTTAGGAGCAGTATTGAGTAAAGGTACTTTGTTACTTTCCACCACTCAATAATCATACATTCATATTTATACATATGGGCTCATACATATTCCAACACATGCACTTAAACGCAGACTTGATCCAAGCAAAGGACAGGGACCGGAGCAGTCCTCTGATAGGCAATTAGCTCGTAAAGTGACATGGACATGCATGCAAAGCTTCTGACAAATACACAAATACAAGTACACACACACACACACACACACACACACACACACACACACACACACACAAGAGGCAGAGCTGGTTTGCTCTCTTGATAGGCAATTAACTTACTTCAGACACCTCATCAGCAAGTGAACAAAAATCCCCTTTTAATCGGACACACAGACGCACACACCTACACACACACAAACGCGCACACACACACGCGTCCTCACAGCTTTGCATATGCAGTGTTCATTGAAGCATTGATATGCAGCGTGAGCGGGAGAATCTGTTCCCACTGCTAGCGCCTTAGCATTGCTAAATTTCAAATGCACATACAGAAATACGTTCAGCCACACACACACACACACACACACACACACACACACACACACACACACACACACACACACACACACACACACACACATACACACACACACACTCACTCACGTACACTCATTGGAGGGATCAGGGGGCAGATGATTCGTCAGGAGTCCTGCTGAGTTAAGTAATCACACTCGGGTGTTTAATCACTAACGAGAACCTGATGATGCTCTTTAATTAACACAACACTAATTGAAGAGGGCTGGCGAATCACAGCTCTTGGTCCTGTCTGTTATTTGAATAATTAGAAAGCAAAGGATTGTGGGCGAGGAGCCTCCAGCTGTAGGTGGGTCGGAGGCAGTTTGTGAGGAAATTTATTAGAGAAGAAAATAAAATTTGCTTAATCATTTTGTTAATTTGTTCAGTTGTAGGTTGACAGAGCGACAATATTGATCAGTGTGAACGTATTTCTTCAAAGTCATACTGCACTGGTAAACTTTCGGGACATCGTAATGGTACAGTACACTTGGGTATACTAATGTAAAATAAGAAATTCTGCTTACTGCTGTAACACACATGTACTACTAGGCATATTTGACTTCCAGTATTGTGTGAAGTTAGCTTCCAGACCTTAGAAAGTCAGGTAAGGAATTTGTGGTGGATAAGTGGGGTAACCATAGGACCTTCCTCTAGAAGAGGAATCCTGTGTGAAGCAAGTTGTTATATGTATAACAGAAACAACTGGATATGGTTTTAGGCTCCAAAGTGACAATAGGCTATTATTTTCACAATGTAGAGGATGGGAAATTTCTTTATTGCAAACAATATGGTGGTGAAATATGGTGTAAATGTGAAAGTTTAATCTTCAAATAGGCAGTGAATTTGGTACGCTGATGATCAGTCAGTTTCTGCACGTCTTGACAAGTGACAGGGAGTGTCGAAGGAACAGAAAAACCACACAAAGTTCAAGGTGATTACACCAAATATAAAAACCCATGAAGTTTTTTTTATTTGTTCTGTGAATGATGTTAATGAAGTGAAACAAAAATCCAATTCAGGCTGGTTAACAGCATCATTTTGTTACTTCACTGATTCCACCTCTGTAAGTCAACAACCCGTCAACACCAAGGCCCTGGAGTCTAGTTTCTGATAGTTGTTGTACAGGTATATTTTACAGCTGCCCACTAAATGTTTGAATGATCAGTCGAAAAGACTCCATGGAGACTCACATTTTGTCACTGCTTTGTCGTTTTACACAGACCAACGCAGGATAGCAACATGACAACTTTTTAAAACCAAGTCTTCTCCTTCTCCTTCTGCTCTGGTGCTAAATGTTAACTAAACTGGCTCTTTTGTCTGTCAGACAAGAGACATACTTTGTGTGTTATAGTTTTCTAACTGATCTATGACCAGGATGCACACTTTTTATTTGAACCGAAAGAAAAATGGGACCCGGCTTTATCAATTTCTGTACAGTACATTCAAACATTCAACTTGTCTCTCCACTGCGTCAACGTGCTGAAAGCCAAGTGACAAGCTGAGAGCTCCCTCAATCCTTTGTTCAACACAGATATTCGTGTTTTATAGACTGAATATAGAACACAATGATTCATAATTCACCATGAATGTACAAACATGTACAGAACCGTTTGTGTGAGAAGCTGAGAGGATTTTGACATTTGTTAGCCTGTTGTAAACAACTGAGCAAATGTTTGGGAACTTTGTCCTTTCTGTGTCAGCGCAAACGCTGAAGACGACACATGCAAAGTTAACAGGATTTTGATTCGACTGGGCTGACTAGAGCGTCTCTGTTAAAGTGGGGCGAGAAGTTTGGAGAAGTTTTATATGACCGAGAGGGGAGGATGGGGCCAAACATGGCAACACGGAGGGGGGATTAGTGTTTTGTTAATGAGGATTACCGTACAAACCGGTGAAAGGCAACTAAGCTGAGCGCCACCGTCATCAAACCGATTTAGTTCCTGGCTCCTATTTAGAAGGATTACCAGACAATGTTATTGTAATTACAATTGTTCTACCAATGAGACTGTTGAAGCTATTATTGTCTGTTGTTGCTTTATATATACGGCGGCTAGTGTTTGCGCATTTGCTCTGCCAGTCACGGTATCAAATTTTACACATTCAGGAGACCTCGTTTTGTTAAATTTGCGTCACTAATATTGTTTTAATGTTACAGGTAAAAGTTAAACACCAACAGTATCGCTACAGAGCAACAGAGCCACAGATTCTTCCTCTACTTCAGCAGGAGGAAGATTAACCTGAGAAATGTTGTCTTCGTTCTCCTTCCTTCTTTTATTTCCCCCCAGAAAGCTGCTGCTGTCTGTTTATAGGCTCCATATGGGAGAAGGACAAAGGTTTAAACAGAGGGGGGGATTTCAAAAGATAATTAAGGAGGAACGAACAGGCAAACTATTGAAGGAGGCACGGAGGAGGGATTGGGAGCAGGGAGGATAACAGAGGAGCGGAAGCTACCTTTGTTGTGTCTCAAACAAGTGGATCAACTCAACTGCCTCTCAAACGCCATGAATATGTATTATATCAGGTTATTCATCCGCCGCCATTGTTCCACTTCAAATTATGTCCCACCAGAGGAACACTGAGGGAAGACAAAAGAAAATTGGGCAAATGAAAATGTAACCAAAACAAAAACGACAGAGCTGTTCTTTTTATGTCCACGCAGGTTCTTTTGTGGCATTAGAGAAATCTTCAGAGATGACTCGTTTTTATTCAACCGAATAATGCCATCTTTTGAAGAAACAGCTCTAATTAACATCCATTTGAATAATCAGATTATTCTACATTCTTGAAATGTGCTGGTGAGAATGAGGGAATATATAGCGTGAATATGTCTTTTGTCATCGCGCACTAATACACCAAAGGTAATATGAGATACTTTGCATTAAACCTCTTTTTTTTTTTACATAAAAACGATGGAGCAAACTAATTAAGGGGTTTGTTTCTGAATGGGTTTCCATGTGAGGATGTGGCAGATACACATTTCAGATCTTCCCCTATGGATTCCTATTTTATTACTGATACTATATTTTCATTATTCAAGAAGTTTAGATTGGGGCTACAATTACTGTGTGGATCTATGGATGGCAGTGTCGGTCGGTTGGTTACGCCACCACTTTGTTCCAGATTAAAATGTTTTGTACATGTATCCGTGGAGCCCAGAAGATAAATCCCACCGACTTTGGCGTCTTTTCATCACGATATCCCACTCGGTGAAACGAACTGTGTCAACAAATGAAAGGCACAATGGCTGCAAAATCCAATATTAACACAAATACCTATGTTTGTATCCGGTTGCAGGTGTTTATATACCCACTCTGAACACTGTATCAGCAGATCATTTAAGCCATATGGCAGCGAGGGTAGCCATCTTGGAATAATCCATATAAACTCCCAAGTCGAAAAAGCAGAACGTTAAAGTTATATTGTATATTGTTATATTTGAATTTATCCTTTCCTTAGAGTACAGGTATATCTTTATTATTTACAACATATAGTGCCATAAGGTGGTAGTGTGCATGTGTAGGAAATTATAGAGTTGGTAAAGATGTAGAAAAGTCTACATATTTGATTTGACAATCATTTTAATATGTTATATCAATACAGAACAAGACATCCAAGTAAAGCTTCAAAAACCCCTTATTTAATATTTTCTAAGCCTCCTAGCCTTGAGAGTAAACTGAATTAATTCGCAAGAGTGTTGGCTTTAATTAAATGAAATATGAAGACAAGCGTAGCAGACTGAGTGGCTCTGAAATAGTTTAAGTGATTTTATGCTCATATATACTCTACATATTTATGACAATGCACATTAAAATATTAAATAGGTAAACAACACAGATTATAAATAATGATTTAGTGCTAATTATCTGGGTGATACACATGCAAAAGACAGAGAATTAAAGGAGTGTTTCTGCTTAGCAAAAACTGGCGTTCCCAAGTCAAACAATGAACATGAGACACACACACACACACACACACACACACACACACACACCTATTCACACACTACATTGGCACAAACACAATAATATAGGTAGCACTCACCTGGAGGGAACAGAGGAACAAGGGGCTAATTAGTGATGATGAGAAGTTAATTTAGTCAGACACCTCAGGTAATAGTCTCCCCCCTCCTGTCTTCATCTCCCTCTTTCTCACCTTCCCTCTGCCTAAATCGTTCCCCACTCTGCATATTGCTTTTTACTCTCCCGCCCAACAATTTTCATGTTAAGACAAGGTGTCAAATGTTCTGTTTTGAGCTTTTTTTAAAATCCCTTCAGTGTGTCTCCATCCCTCTGTCTTTGTATCTATCAGACACACATACAAACACACATCCACGTGTATTCTTCAGAGATTGCAGAGGCTGCAAAGCAGGTGAGATTGTCAAGTCGACTAAGTGGGAAATTACATTATCTTCTGCTTTGACATTGCTGAATTGTATAAGTGTGTCTGTGTGTGTGTCTGTGTGTGTGTGTGTGTGTGAGAGAGAGAGAGACAGAGAGAGAGATGGAGCAAGCGGGCGAGATGGTTCCTGAGCTAAATGTTTGCTAGCAGGTGAGCCTGTTGTTGACAGATGGTGTTTGTGAGAGAAGCTCGCTCCCCGCAGAGTCTCACCCCAGGAAAACGCTCATGCTAACGCAGACAGGCCCACTGTACACACACACACACACACACACACACACACACACACATACACTAACACACGCACAACCACACGTACTGTACTTGTGCATACATAGAGCAGTAACACACCGTCACCAGGTCTCTGAGTGGATTATAACCTGTTCAATTTGTGTTGTTCGCAGCCAGTTCACAGCACAACCAGGTGAGACAGACCACAAAGGAACGAAGAGGTACAAATAGTGAAGAGAGGAAAGAATAACTGAGGGGGTAGCTTTACTAAAACCATCTATGAGTGATAAAATACAGAAAATACCGTCACCCATTCTCCCACTAGACATGCTTTATATGTGCATAATGATGTAACATATCCTGTGTTACCTCGAGGTGTGTGGTTGTACCTCATGTCCTCAGGAATTAACTGCAAGAAGCAGTTAACAGGTTAAGCCAATGAACGGTGGGAGCAGTATATCAGAGTGCAAAGTAAGGTCAGCCTCTATGAAGAGAAAGTAATCGGTGATGGCGACATGATCTCAACATTAAAGGGCAACGCACACCAACGGCTCGTGAGGCGCATCCCTAATCCGGAACCAATGTTTTCTGTACGAGTCTTAAAAGATATTCTTGTGTCAGCCAGACGTGAATCAGCTCTGTTCTGCCACAAGCAAACAAACTTTTTAATCCTTCATGTGCTCCTCAAGTATGCAGGCAAACATGTGAACAATAGCAGCTGCTTGTCTGGTCATATGTGTTAGTGAAGAGCAAAATGGGTCTAATAGGGACAACCTTGTGTAAATCCATTTGGATGTTAAATATTCTTCTCGAGCTTAACTTTATTCCTCTCTTTAGTTGTTTAATTCATCAGTAAGACCCCTAAGTTAGGTCTTACCTTCTGGAAAGCAGCTGAAGTGCATCTGGACAGAAATTCCTTCTTTAACAATTATTATTGCAACCACTGCCGGCTTGATTGCTTAAAAAATTCAAGACAAAAGGGTCAGGGGCTAGTTTGTAATAAGTTAGCAGACTGAACGATTTGTCACAACTTCTACATTTATAGCTCATTGTGTCTTCATTGTCACAAAGTAGCTCCAAAGTAAAGAAATAGAAATAACAAAGAATGGAAGAAAAAGTTACAACAACAACCAAAACCTGAAATCCTCCAACTTGTGACACCATTTTACTCCTCGGCCAGCCAACCTCACGCAGACAGCAGCCATTTTGTGCCTCTGAGATCAGATTAGTAGTCTGGTGGCACCGCTTCCCATCAGCAGGTCTGCTGGAGCATGACAACTGTGGAGGAGTCACTATTAGAGCTAATGGCAGACTAAACAGCCTTTAAGTCAGGCCTGTTGTGTGTAATGAGACTTTAAGTGTGATGACAAGAGGAGTGAGAGGAAGGAAGCACACAGCTACACTGACAACTACACACTAAACAACCACTTAAAGCTTCTTTAGAGCTATATGTAGGTGACAAATAAGCAAACCAAAACAAATATGAGAAGAAGTAACTAAACTGTAAGGCGATAAGACAAACTTGTGTCTCAGAAGGGTCAAATTACAGAGCCGACAGAGAGAGGCAGACAGTCAAAGTGTTAGAAAGAGAAGAGCGATACAGCGAGGGGAGGGGGAGCGAGTGAGAGCTCCTGTAATTAGTCAGTTAATTACATCTGGATGATGATCTGCTCGGGGGGATGGATGTTGTTTGAGCTGTGTGTATGCGTGTGTATGAGTGTGTATGAGTGTGTGTGTTTCTATCCTTGGCGGCTGTGTACACTCCAGAAAGCGTTTACTGAAATGGGAGCTAATTCTCGCTGTCTGAGGCCATTACGGTATTAATTTAATTTGGGTTAGCTGTCGCTAGCTCATTAACACATCTAATTAATTCATTGACATCAGAATTAAGTTGTTTCACTGAAACTGACACCTCTCTCTCTCTTCTAAGAGAGAGTGGGAGGAGAGGCAGCGACAGATTGAATGAGAAACGGAGATCGGAGAGGAGATGGAGAGGCATGATGGATTGAATCATATCTACCAGGAAAATACTATTAATAAATGTTGTTAGCCGCGGTGAGTGGAGTCAATCAGTTATGTGGGAAATACGGGAGATAAATGAAGGGTAAGAAGTTAAGAAAATGGTTGTTAGAAACAAGATAGAAAGTGGATTCTTTGGTGTCATTTGAGAGGCGAGGCCTTATCAAAGGGAACAGCCACTTCTGTGACTAATCACTCTAGAATTTATGGAGGAAGAAATGAAAAGATCACAAAGGGTATGACCTTTGTGTGAAACTTTTGACGCGCTGCAACTTAGGAAAATACGCCCAGACACGGTGTGTTCTTCACTTTGTTGTGTGCCCTGGAAACTGTGTTCTACTTGCAGTGTTTCTGGATTTTGTTGGGTTGCCGAATTGGTAAAGATTTTTTTATTTTTTACTTGCTTTGTTTGTACACAAATGTATATAAGAATGTAATTTGTCATAGGCTTCCAAAATGCATTGCCCCTATCAACAACATAGTTTTGTAAATGCTGCAGGCATTTTGGGCTGATTTACCTCAGAATTACTCGTCCCTGGGCCTTGGTCGGGGTTTACAGAGCCATTTTAAACCTCTTGACCTGCTCTTTGAATTGTCTGGGCTGTCCCAGTAATTCATACGTTTGACATTTCAGTGTTAAAATCTGGATGATTACGTCAGTATCAGTATCAGTAGAAATCCCCCAAAAATGCCAATTCTTGCATAATGTTGCTTATTATAGAGTTGTGGGAGATTTTATTCCATTCGTGTTTAGCGTTGGGTGATTGGATGAATATATTGGTGATTGGTCCAACACCATTCTGGTTTTTTGGTTAATTTCTGTCAGTGTATTTTGCTCATTTAATAGTCTGCCTGCGAAGAACAAGTGAGCGATGCTGCTTAGTGGAACAGTACACGCCCACTGAACTGAAGAACGAGCGTGAGGAAAAACTGTTTGCCACATCTAACTCAGCAAATTAAGTTTTGATTTTTGACCAATTTGACGAGCAGTTTGCAGTACCGAGGTGATTAAGCAGCTTCGATCAGGACTCTGACTCCTAGGACGAAGGCACGATGAGTTCAGGCAGGGAGACAGAATATTTCTCACATCTAACTGTGAATTAAGTATTTATTTCAACCAGACCACAGCTGGTGATTGTTGGAACAGTAGAAAGACTAGTCAAGACAGTTTTTGTTCTTTTCTTTTGTTTGAGTTTGAAAATGAATTAACAAGGAAATTATGTGAATGTCTTATTTTTAATGTTTAATTAGGAAAATAGGTGGAATGATATTTCCTTTCTTGACAATTTGGGATTATTTTGTTGAATAAAGATAAGAGAGCTTGAACACAGAATACAGAAAACACTGGAAATACATTTTTGGTAGATTCATATGTTTTTTTTTTTTACTATTCTTCTTTGATCAGATAATTCCTGCAGCAGTTTTATCCTCCCCATATTCCAACAGCAGTCTAATCCTTATAGACACTTATAATGTATATTGTAGTTGTACATACATGTTCTGATATGGAATCAAATGATTTAAATATGTTCACACAGTTTAAATCTCCCTTGTAAGAACACCTGAGAATATGGGCCAGTTAATTAGAGTTTGGAGGGAAGATTATTTCGGTGCAACCTGGCGTGGGTGTGTAGTTAGAGGTGGGACACCTTTGGAAGTGGCACGCAGTGTGAGCCTGGCTAGAGGTAGGGATTATTTGGATGTAACACACAGTTGGTTTCTTGTTAGAGGGGGGCGTCGTCACAGTCTGTCTCTGTGGTAAATTTGATTAAGGCTGGCGGGAGGAGGTGGTCCAACCGTGAACAGGTGCCCCTCACAGTTGAGTCGGGTTCAACCCTTGGTCTCGCTCTCATTGACATTGTACTTCCTGCTCTTTGTTCTCCCTCTGTCTATCCGTGTAATCTCTCTCTATTTTCACCGCTGTCTCTCCGCGCCACCGCTGCCCCTCCGCTTCATCTGTCTCTGTTTGTCTGGTAATCAGTCGCGGGATTGGAGGCCTGGTAGCACGCAGGACCTCCACCTTGAAATGCTTCTCCATCCTCCGCTGGTCTTTTCTGCTGTGTGACTTTCACTGACCTTCATAAACCTCACAAGCCCCCTCCCCCCCTCCTGTTCACTGTATCCCTACTTTCTATGTCTGCACCCCCACTTCCTCCTCTGTACTACCCACCTGTCTGGATCAATCCAGCCAAACTCAGACCACTGGATCAGAGATTTTTCTCTTTTATTATACCCATTGTTACTGATATTAGTTTTAATTTGAAGTAAGGTGTGAAATCTGCTCCACTTTATGTCTCATCAACCATCAGTTTGAAGGCTAATTTCACATTTCTTCATAATCTTTGACAATATTTCTATCAGTTGTAATAACATTATACTCACATATAATCTGGAAACATGCAACAACGTTACAAAGGCTGACAAGGCACGAAAAATGAGCAGTCAGATGATCAAACAGGTTGTAAACAAGCCAACAGTTTAGCCAGATTGTCATTACCATTTTATTTGTAGTTAAACCGAAAGTGATTAGCTTGGTTCCAGACCTCTGAATCACCGCCCAGACTTCAGATTTTTTCAGACATTCAAATAAGTCTGGTGTTGTGCTTGTTTTCCCAATTGAAAGAATAATTGAGCTTGAAGGTCACCTCCCTGTGGCCTGCAGCCACATGGCCATGTATCCAGCCCATCCATGTGTGGGTGCCAAATTGGTTGAGATGTATGTGATTGGTTTTTTTTATAATTTTGTTTTACTTTTTTACATTATTTTGCTTCATATCTGTCTTATTTAAATTTTCTTTTTAATGTTTTATAAGACCCTGATGAAGGCAACAAGCCAATACAGTTGTTCTTTATAGCACAGGTATGGTATTCAGATTTTGTCTCTTCTCCATGCACCTTGGAAATTGGTGAAATTATGCCAGAAATCTCTTCTTCTACAGGTGTTCTTCTAAACATCCAGTGTGTAACATTTAGGAGGATCTATTATCAGAAATGGACTGTAATATTCATTGGTATGTTTTCATGAGTGTTTAATAGCTGATTATTGGTTATTATTATTATTATTATTGTCGTGTTTTCGTTACCTTATCACCTCTCATTCACAGGTCGTAAAATAAATACGCAAGTGGTGTTCAGTTAGTTGCAATCTGCAACTTCACCGCTAGATGTCACTATTCCTTCACACTTTAAGACAGAGCCAGAAAGGTAGCGACAGAAAAAGGCAATCAGCAAGAGTTCAAAGTTAACTTTAGTAACAATACATCAGTCACTTGTGCTCTCCATTGTATTATTTTTATTAAATGTGTATTTTCTATCTATTTTGTTGTATCTGGAGCTGCTGTGTGAGTGAATTTCCCCAGTGTGGGAGCAATATATATTATCTTAAAGGTAGGGGAGAAAGAGGAGATGACTGGATTCAAACCTTGATATGTGATACGCACAGGTTTTCTGTATGACTTTGCAATTTTGTCTAAAAAATAACATACATTGCAACATACATCCCAAATCTTTTAGAAAAGCTGCTGTGACATCAAGCATTTCAGGCTGCAGCAATCCCCCATCAACTGTTAGTATTAACGTTGGAAAATCAGATAAGAAGATATTACATGTAAACTAGATAACGCTGGCATTACTGGGAAGTGTAGTCTTAGTCAGAGGCTATCTCCAGCCTCCAGGCCTCCAGCCTCTCTTCACAAAACACAGACACAAAATTGATATTAACCCTCCATCTCTATCTAAAACAAACAAGCTGACCTGCTAAAATACTGTGCTTGTAAATAATGACTTGAGTAATTCACTTCTACCGCCATACCCAGCCTTTATTATAACATAAAGAAAACTTTCCCAGGTGGGACAGTTTGTAACAACTCAAAGTCATACTATAAAACTTAACCAACCTAGAACCAGGAATACCCACAAAACTTCTATCCATCAATTTTGGCAAATCCACTCATTGAACCAGAAAACTGTGTTTGGAAAATATTTTATTTTTGTTTTATTATGTGTCTTTGTTTTGTTTTCCAAAGTTGGCGAACCGATGTGAACATCAGTCAGACCTATTCTGACTGATGTGTCAACTCAGCAAATAAGTTAACTGCAGCAGAGGGTTATTATAACCAATAGAAATCATTACCAAAACTAGGAAAATAAGTTGTAATAAACCAGAACCTATACATAAAAGTCTCCTTTTCCTGTCTCCTTAACACTGTGTTAGACAGCTATTCCCAGAGGAGAGAGAAAAGGAGAAAGAGGGAGTGATCGACAGAGAGAGAAACCTCACTTCTCTTCTACTGAGGAGCTACATCACCAGCTGCAGCAATTAACCCCTCGTTCCTCCGGGGAACCATTAGAAGGTAGAATAGCCTTTAAAATTGCATATGGCTGCAATTAGGGCAGAGAAAGTGATGAAATGATTTGGCTTAGATTTTTCTGTATAGATTTTTTAGGAAATGGCCCTTTTTATAGGTCCATAAATTGGAATTAAAAGAGTAAAGTGCTTTAGCCTCTCCTCTCCTCTCCTCTACTTTTTGTTCCTCTTCTTTCCTCCTACCCCCTTTCCTCCTCTCCTCTTATCTCATCTCCTCATGTACTCTCCTTCCTCATCTCCTCTTCGGTTTTCCTCTCATTTCATCTCCTCTTTTCTCTCCATTCCTCTTTTCACTTCACCAGATCTTCTTTTCTCATTCCATTCTTCTCATCCTTCATCTTGCCCTCACATCTTCTCACTGTACATCTTTTCTCGTCTCGTCTTTACTTTACTTCCACTCTCCTCTCTACCTTTCCCACCTTGTCTCCTGTTTCTTTCCTCCCATTATCTTATTCGCTCTTTCCTCATTTCCTCTCCTATTTGCTCCCCCTCTTTCATCTTCTCTTTCTTTTGGTAGCTTCATCCTATTTCATCTCTTCTCTGGCCATTTCTCTTTCTCTTCCATCCTTTGCATCTCTCCTCCATAAGTTAACCTCTCCTTCCCTCCTCTCCCTTTGTCATGTCTCCTCTCCTAATTTCCTTCCTCTCGTCTCCTCATTCACTCTTACCCAATTTCCTCACCTCTCTGTCTGTTTCTCATATCTCTCACTTCCTTTATTCCTCCAATCCTCTCCTCTCATCTCCCCTCTCTTTCTCCTTCCTTACATTTTGTGTCTCTTTCCTCTCTTCTTCGTTAACTCTCCCTTTTCCTCTGCTCTCCCTTCTTTCTTTCATTTCCTCCTCTTTATGTTCCTCTGCTTTTTAATCTTTTCCTCTCTGCTCCTCTCTATATTTCCTCTTCTCCTCTCCTCTTTTCCTTGCAATAACAGAAGGAGATGGCTTAAGCATCTGTGTCATCAGTGCAGATTAATGTCCTAATAATATTCACAGATGTCATTTCAAAATTCTCCATTTGTTTATTTTTGCTCTCCGTCTCCCCTGGAGCTCGCCCGCTCTCTGTCATTTTTCGCCTCCCTTTCTTTCTCTTGTCAATGAATCACAGGACTAATCACAGGCTCATCACGGACTTCAAAGCAGCCACTTAAGAACGCCTGTCTCGTTCGAGTGTGACACACACGCCTCTCCAGCAGCAGTGTTTTTGAATCATTCTTAATCGGGATAATTACACATGAGAGGAAGTAAATGAGCGAAATGTTGAGTAAAAAGGGGGCAGGACAGTGAGAGCTGATAGTGAAAAAAAAAGGAACGGGGAGGGAGGACAGCAAAGTGCTTCTTGACACGTTTATTCATTTGCTTATTATTTTGCTGCTGTAGTTGTTTGTTTACTCATTAAGGATAATCCAATTAAAGCACTTAAGAGCAGCTTAAGAAGAAGCATACACACAAACACATCTCATGGCCTCAGAGTAGGTCCAGTCTTGGAGAGAGGACAGGTTGTGGTGGGGTCTGTAAAGCCTGCAGTTTCCACCCCTCCCCGCTACTACAAACAGGGCTTCAGGAAAGAGTGCCAGGGGCTTGGGGCGCTGAGACCATAACATGCCTCCATGGCGGCTCCGTGTTGGCTCCGGAGCTGGTCAGTCGCCTGCCTGCCTGCGTCCCCCCGCAGCGCTTTCCTGTCGTGTGTTGGCTGACTGGTCCCCTTGTGCACATATGCCCGCTTACACTGTGTTCCTCTCTAATTAGCTGCTCTTGTCTACACAGACGCACAGGCTTTGTTAAAACATTGCTATGCCTTTCCTGGCATGTTCTCTTCTTGTAAAAATGAATCCTCCTCACATCAGCAGACGATAAGGCAGGTTCATTAATCCTGGCCTTGTGCATTGCAGTCTGGACTAATAAAGAGGATGCTCATGGCTCTTTTTACACCAAACAAGCAATAATAATCTGGAGGGCAGGGAGCGCAGGTTACCTTGGTAACCTGAGGGTGGAGAAATGCCTCTTACCTCATTTCTGTTGGTTTTCGATGAGTCATTTATTTAATCTACAAGATCCCTCATTGGCTTACTGCGATACCAACGCTGCTTTTCCTCTAGTCATTTTTCATTACTCTCTAACCAAATCAACTGTTATCTTTTTTCTTTGTTAATTCTTCTTCCTGTGATAGAGGAGGAGAGAGGGAGAGGATGAGAGTGACTGTACTTTAGAGTTTGATCATTAATTATTAGTCTCTCGTTCCTCTGAGGAGAGAAGCTGATGACAGCTAATTAAGGATGAAGTGATGTATATGCTCTCTCTCCCTCTCTCTGCCCCCCCCTTCCTCTCCTTCCTCTGTCTCCCTCCCTCCCTGCCCACCTGCCAAATCATATGCTGGAGCTATAGACAGTAAATATCCAGAATAAATGTAGGGACAACGGCATCACACATTGTGTTTACCACATGCTTCAGTAATCTTTCTGGTACTCATCCTAAATATGGATGTGCTGGGGCCTTTGAGTGGAAATATTGGGGTATTTTAAGGGTGGCCACTGTGGTTTTAAGCACACATTTAACTAACAGGAGTAAATAGTGGATTTAGTGCGGACACTTTTCGGTTGTGGATTAATACACATTTGTTGCTCTATGTGTTTTTACGTCAGCAGTAAAGTGTAAATAGGACTGACTCCAAAATAAACTACAATGCAAAAGTGTGGCTTGTTTATGTGTGTTATTTTTATAGTTTCTGGACACTGGACACTAGAGGTTGTACAGAGGAATGAGATATACGAGGCCTTATTTGTTGGATAAATTAAAGCTTAAAGATTGGAACTTTTGCCCACTAGTGGCGCTATGGAGCAATGTTTCGTTGGCCCCCATTGTTTTAGTATTTTGTGCTGTGCTAACATGCATGAGCATGCAGGTGATAGACATTTCTGCTGACTGCAGAGAGTAAATGTCCGTCCACACCAAGAACAATAAATATAACAATAACTATAACCATTACAATGTGAGTATCCACACACACACGTACTTCGAGCTCTAGCCGGTCGCTAGCTTACTAGATTGATTAAGTTATTGATGACCTGTTACTGCTGTGTGTTGCGCAGAGGAAAAAAAAAGAGAAAACCAGAAAGATTTAGGTTCATTAAAGATTACTGTTACGGGAGTTGTCGTCTTTTTTTATTCATACTTTGATTTTTTTCAAAAGGACATCAGACCCCATCAGCACTAGAGACCATGTTTCAGGTAAAATTATGTTTTTTATGTGATTTACAGCCTAATATTACGTTATATAAGCTTTTTATAGGTTTTATACTACAAACTTGTTTATCAAATGTCTCTGAAAGTCATCCCAATGATGTAATTCACCACTGTTATTGTCATTATAGTTGTGGTGTGGACTCCATCCACTTGAGCAACAATGATTTTTAAAACTATATTTATAGTTATTGTGTTTGGTGTGGACGGCCCTTAATGAAAACTTGTACTCTAGTTAGTTGCACTATTCCACTGACAGCTGGTGTTTATGCATCAAAAAAATGTAGCTATGCACCAGCAGAAAGAGGACACAGATTTTAGACATGTACTTTTTCTTGAATTGTGACCCATAAACAGCCAGAGTGATACTGTATTTGATACCAATATAATATGCAAGGGTTTTAACAATATAGTAAGCTGATAGTTATTCTTTTTTACGATACGATATATGTAGGATATTTTGCAGTTGAAAAATAACCTTTTCAAGGCAAACTTTGCAAGTTGTCTTTATTTCTGATTCAGGTTATTTTTGTAATGCAGTTTCTTTTTTACTTATCTGTCAACTTAAACAGCAGATATTGATACATCAGACATGTCTATCAATATATCGTCTCACTCTTCCGTGCCACACAAAAAGGTCATGTAATTTTTTTTTATGAAAGTGGTCAGACAGCTCTTGGAAGATATGAGAAAGGAAAATAAGCATTAAATCTTTGGGGAAATTGCAAAGTAAGCAAGCTTAAACAACTGAGAGGTGTGGTCTCTGTTTGGTTTTCGCTTCATCATCCTCCATAGCTTTTGTCTGTTGTGTCGATTCACCTCCAACCAGATCCACAGAGAAGTGACTGGCAGATAGATCATCATGTCACTCCTGCTTTCCTTCCTCTGCCCTCAAACAGTGATGATGATGTCTTTATGACACGTCCCCGGGCAGGAGGAGGGGAGGAAGAGAGGGAGCCAAGGAGAGGTGGGTGGAAAGAGAAAGAGAGAGAGAGAGAGAGAGAGAGAGAGAGAGAGAGAGAGGTGGAATGAGGTGTTATTTTTAAGGTTTGTGGATGGAAAATTGTGGCACATTGACTGCAGTTGGACCACAGCTATGGAAGGCCCAGCTGGACAAACTAAATTCTAATTTGCTGAATAAGACAAATAAAACCAAGAATAATTTTAGAGATTAATGCAAAAAGATAAATGATGAGAGGTCATTATTTTTGTTGAAGTAGCCCCGCCCCCACCAGCCACCATTTCTCCTCTACCAACCTCCCCCTCCTGCCCCCGCCATGCCCACCACCCTGAAACCTCTCTCTTGAATTTGTGGTGACTCCAGCAATAGCAACACCAGTGGAGGAAATCATTTGTGCCTCCAGGCGAGTCATTACAGAAGCAGAGTGTGAGATTGCAGTGACAAAACTCTGTCTCTGGCCTCACGACCAGCCAGAGACCAGCACGCTTCTCCACACTCATTACTTCATACCTCCTCTCCCCTCTTCTCCAATGCTCCCCTTTTATTTTCATTACACACACTCTTTTTTTTTCATCTCATCATATTATGTTTATTTCATTATGCATCAGTTCAGACTCAAATATTTCAAGTAGTTCCTTTTTTTTTTTTTGCACAATTTTCTATGTTTGAAAGTATGCAGAAGAGCACTTCACTTCTCTCAACCCAAAAAAATATATATTAATATTGACATACAAAAGTAAAAATCACAAATTCTGAAAGTTTAAAAGTTGCAAATGATAATCCAATATTTCTTATAATGTTCAAAATTTTAAATCAGTGCCAAATTGATTGACATGTCAAACTAGATTTATTAATATGTCTATGCAGGACTAAAACAGGCACAGACTTCTGTGAATATACCTGTAACATATGTATTTAACAATGTGTTGACAGAATTGTATTGTAAATTGAATCTCGTTTTCATTTGATCATGTACAATTATTTTATACATTTGTTTTGTGATCTTTAAATCAATTCACTAACTAGAACTGGGCCTTTCAGAAGAAGTCGATAACTTTTATTTTGTGGACACTTTAATTGAAAATATATTTTAAAAAACACATAACAAAACCAGACTTGTCCTCTTGCATTTGCAGGCTGTTTTTGCCCTCGCTGGCCAGAAGGTGTCAGCTCTGTGTTGGGTAGTGGTCCGCAGCTACACACGCAATACACACGCACACGCACACACACACGCACACACACACACAAAGCTGGGCGCTATGGCCCACTGATGTCCAGCTGCTCCTGTCAACACTCCGCTACAGCGTGTAATTCACCCTCACACACAACGGCAGCTGAGACCTGAGAGGAGCCCTCCCCCCTCCCCCCCAACACACACATGCACACACACACACACACACACACACACACACACACACACACACACACACACACACACACACACACACACACACATAAGGTCTGAAGGGATAGGAGAAAACAAGAGGTGTAAAAGAGAGAAACTATAAAAAATAAAAGTGGACAGAGAGCTGGACATGGAGAGGGAGAGTTGTGGGTGACAGACGCACTGAGAGCCAGACAGACAAAGAGAGAGAGAGAGGGGGGACACTGTGTTTAAGTGGCCTAATCAAGGGACCACCCCTTCAAAGGGAGAGCCGGTGTGTGTGTGTTTGGGCAAAGGGGGGCTGGGTGGGTTGCACATGGACAGACTGAGTCCAAGTTCCCCTGCAATTATCAACTTACCCATCCTCCCCCTCCGCCTCCTCCTCCTCCTCCTCCTCCTTCATCCCCTGAGAGACCCAAGCTGCTGTACCCATCAACAACTCATTCAGGCCTTAACAAAGCAGCACCACGCCTACCCACACACACACACACACACACACACACTTACACACACATTAACAACTGTGCAGCCCAGTCGATGCTGACTTTGTGGATTAATCCCTACATGAGAATCATTTGAAAACAATTTCCAAAATTAGGGGAACATTTTGATGCGGTTCTGTTGTCTTTTTGTATTGATCCTTACACATAATACTATATTACACAAACACGTCTACGATGTAAATGTTGTAATCATCAAGCACTGCATTTACAAGAAATGTCATTGCTTTTATTCATGCTTAGAGGTCATGAATTAAATTTAAAAACGTTAATCAAAATGTAAAAAATATCACATGGTGTCGAGTAGGCTGACTGCCAAAGTCACTTTTTCAGAAAATTGTCTTTTTTAAAGACGATACAAACACGTAAAAGCATTTATGGATAACGGATTATATTTTATATAACTGCTGTGGTTTTTCATTCCATTTCGATTTCACCCTTACAGTCATTTTTGTATTTTATTTTATTTTTTTTGCTGATTCCTGAGTCTGAGAATGAAAACAAACTCTGAAATAGAAACACTTTTTCACGTGTTCCACTTCAAGTGATTCTTTTGGGTTTTTTTTCTCATTTTGGTTGTAAAGGTCAGAGATCTGGGAGGGGAACAAGATGTTTTAATAGACTCTTACCCCCATAACAGAGGCTTTTTATATGGTAACCCTTGCAGTATCCTGCCTGCTTTTACAGTTAAACTCTGGTAATACGAAGCACAAGGGAAACTCACTGTGTGTGTGTGTGTGTGTGTGTGTGTGTGTGTGTGTGAGACGTACATGGCTGGCGTGTGCCGCTCCACACGCTGAACATGCCCTGAGGCCATCATTTCACCTGCGGCACTCTTAATGTGGAGTGGTTGCTGTGTGTGGACAATATATGCATTTATGCCTGCGCGCGTGTGTGTGTGTATTTGTTCTCTAAGCCTTCAGTAATAAGGTTGGCCATGGTGAATCAAAGATAAGGCATTAGGCTGTTGACCTCTGACCTCTACCTCTGTTTAATACGGAAAACTGGTCACTAACACCCAGGAGAGGCCATGTTTAAGAGGCGCAAACTGCTTAATGAAATCAGTTTGTGTGTGTGCGCGTGTGTGTGTTTGTGTGTGGTAATTGAGCCCGCATTGTAAAGCAGCTGTATTTAAAGTGTTGTCTTGCATTCTGAATTAGCTTTAATAAATGAGGTGTTTGAAGATGATTAAATCAAGTTTTTTAACAATGAAAAAAATGTCAGCTGTCACTGTTTTGTTGTCACTTGACAGCAGTTGTGCTCAACACAAAGCAGATCTGTGGCTCTATTATTAGACCCCTCTCAGAGAAACTGCGATGCTTGTTGGTTAATTTACGTTTTAAATTAGTTTTAATGTTTATGGCTTTTTGGATTTCACTGACAGAAAAAGATCCTTATTGATGTTGACTCTGTACAAACATTGAAGGATCATTGCCGAAAGAGCTGTAATATTTGGTACACAAGCAACAAAGGAAGTTGTAGTGTGGAAATCCGTTCCTCTGGGAAGTTGAGAACGATTAACGCAAATTCAACCAATACCCATGAATTCTGCGCGACCAGTTGCGATGATCCACAAATTTGACCAATCATTGTTGTTTCCTGTGAGTATCACTGATCATAGCAGTCTCCGGTACAAATCTTTGAACCACACGTCACCGAAATTCTAACAATTTAATTCTCACTGGAACAAGTTGCCTTTGATTTGTAATGAATTATACAAAAGAAATCACAACTATAATTGCAATTATCACTTTTTCCTGCAATTGTATAGCAAACACGACTTAAAAACATTAGAACATACATACATTTTATAAAAGATGCTCTGAAATCTGGCATTTTAGGCCACACCAATCTGCCTGTGAAATCCTGGATGCAAAAGACAGTTTCACCCACTTTACAAGATGAAAGAATTTCCAAGTTTCACTGATCAAAAGAAACTTTATACTTGCGGATCATGTATGAGCATGGCAGAGCCTGGTAGGACCTAAAAATGTAATCTGCAATAAGAGAATGATTGTTATCGGTGTAGATATACTGCTCACAAACTGCTTTTGTTAAATAGGCTACTGTCTAATTGTCTTATAGTTGCTGTAAGGGAGTATAGCTATCTGGTTTTGGCATTGGATAAATTTGTTGCCCTTTTTAGAAAAATAATGAAGTTTTGTAGCATCTCAATGTCCCCAGAGTCAAATCTACCACTTTGGCCCTTCTGTGTCCTGGTGGACTGAGGACTGTATTCAGACGTAGAATACGTGAATAAAAATGTGTTACGTAAATGTGCCGAAGAGTGTTCACTTTCTACTTATTCTACTTATACTTCTATATTTTTACTTCGTTACAATTATCTTACAGTTTAAGTTTCTAGTTACTTTACAAATTAAGATTTTTGCACAAAGATGTTTTGTTATAAGTAAAACTACCAAGCAGTAAGTATAGCTGAAATTATGAGCTCATTAATGAATTGACAGAAACTTTTTTGGTCATTGTTCATTCCAAAACATTTTATGTTTCCAGCTTCACAATTGTTTTTGATTTTATCTTATTATTTTTAATATTTTGAGCATTGTGAAGGTTTCGCTAATTGTGATGGTATTTCTCCCTATTTTATGAATTTTTACAAACCATAGTGAAAATAATCATTAGTTGCAGTCTTATACAAAGTAGTTGGTCCATGTGAACCAACTACAACAATAAAATCCTGCTTTTACATTAATGCACAAGTATTAATAATAATATAATATAGTATTACAGTCACAAGAGGCATTTTTCTGCGTTGAGTGCTTTTACTTTTGATACTTTCAGTACACTTTCCTGATTAAACTTACATATATTTACTTAAGGGCCATTTTTACTTGTAATAGAGTATTTTTACATTGTGGCATTAGTAGTTCATTACTATTTCAGTAAAAGCTCTGAATACTTCCTCCACCACTGCCTTAACCAACGTGCTTGCTGGAATTCTCAGTCATGTATCTATGAGCTAAAATATTTTGCTGGAGACATGGTTGGAATTTATCAGATTTAGTTTGTTTCAAGCATACCTCGACCTTTATACTGTATTTTTCT